AGTTAAATGAACGACAAGCACATGCTTTAGCCAGGGCTGCAAAGCAAACGCATTCTTTTAAAAAGTTATTTCTGATTCGGTTCACACTTGGAACTAATGAACTGCCTTTGGGTTCAGTTCATCATTTCGATTGTGGTTCAAACCCATAAAATGAAAAGTGCTTCAGTTCAGAACCAATCGGATATAGAAGTTGGAATCTTCTATGAAATAATTGCGTTATCAACGTATTCAGAATTTAAAGATAGCATTCGAAACTTTGCTGTCTTTGATTTAATATAGCTAAGATTCCTATCCATAATTATGAGCTTGTGCACAAATTTCCCCTCAAAACATTATCAAACGGGCCATATATATATAACCCCTCTATAAGGCGGGCATTCCCCTATGCCCATCAAAATATCAGTTCTTCTAGTGATCATTTTATTGTAAACTACTTTTTAGGCTGGTTTTGCTAGCTTTATTGCCTGTTTGTTGCTTATAATTCTCAAGTGGTTATAGCTTTGGACTGAAGACAAGGTCTTGTCTATAGAGTGATAGAACCGCGAGGTTCCTGAAAAAGCTATAGAGACTGTCTGTAGCTGTTCTTGGTATTTATGCTTCTACTTTCTTGTTGTTGGTCGTTATTCAATATTTATTCATTTCAACTTTTAAACTCTTTTAAAAATATTCATATTTTCGCAATTTACAATGTTCTCTCTATAAGACGGACATCTTTCTTCAATGAAGACTTCAGCATATACCACTGTCAAATTCTTTGAAAATTTCCATATGAATCATGAAATCTTTTCTTCCATTTCTGTCGGACTTAGCATTGGGCAGCTCCACAGCTCTGTGGCCCAACTTGTCGGGCTTTTGGGACTGGCATAGCTATGAAGATGTAGATGTGGGCTCTTTTTTATTTCTTCATTTATTTTTTTTTTTGCGAACACAGCTGCCGCTGGTTAACATAATTTTCGTGGGCATTTTTGCAACTCATTTTTGACTGCATAAATACAAAGAATAACAACAACAACAAGAAGAAGGAAGCGAAAAAAAAGAAGGTGTATATGAAATAAAATAAAAAGAGAGCGAAACAAAAGCAGTAAAAGCCAAAAAAAAAAAAGAAACAAAATTGAAATCAACTTTTTCCAACGAATAAATTTCGAGTTTTCGATAGTCTCGGTCTGCCACAGACTGTGTCGTTGTCGTTGTCGACGTTGTTGTTGCTGCTGCTGTCCTCCAGACAGACGGAGACCTGGCCAGCAACAACAACAACAACAACAACGGCAACAACAACGGCAACAACTACTGCAACAACAACAAGTCGCAGTCTGAGTGGCTGCGCTCTACGTGGGCTCCAACAGCGTCAGACTGTCTGGTATGCCACGCTCTCACTCTGGCCGCAGAGATGTAGACCTGTGTGTGTGTGTGTGTGCGTGTGTGTAACGGCACTAAGTTTCGTGATTGCCACATGTGGCTCCTTCTGACGCTGGCGGTTGCCCACTCTGTGTCTGTGTACATAGTGAGTGTGTGTGTGTGTGTGTGCATTTGTTGCTTTTTCAGTTGTCGCTGCGTTGTCTGACTGTGTCTGGCCTCCGTCTGTGCGCCCGTCCCCCTCGCCCTCTCACTCTTTGCCACTCTCCAAATCCCCTCCACGATCTGTTCATTCATTCGTCTGTCTGTCTCGTCTGACTGTGTAGGCGTCAGCCCCTCGTCATCATCATCATCATCATCATCATCATCGTCATCATCATCAACACGCGGCTGGCGCTCGCATTGGCCAATGCATAAAATTATACAGAGACATGACATGGTTTTGAATAATTAAGCGGAACGCCAAATGGCCTCCGCGCAACCCCCCCCCCCCCCCCCCCCCCCCCCTCCCGAGCCGCTGCCCACTTAGGGCTGGCGACTTTTTAGAGACCCAAACATGTGCATTGGATGGCAGAGCTTGCCCCCCTTCCTATCTCTACAAGCCTCTTCGCCTATGACCAACAAAGTTGTCATTTTACAACTCAATTTCGAAAGGATTAGGACTTTTGCCGGCTGGGCGAAGGATTTAACTTTGAGAGTTGAAATGCATTTGGCACAGGAGCACAGAAGTCCAATATGGCCGTTATTAGAGCTGGACCAGTGTATGTGTTTTCTTTTATTTAATCGATTTATATCGGTTAAAATGTGATCTAACTGTGTTTCAGAAAATGCTCTATATATCTTTTATATATTTTAATCAGACAGCATTGCAAGGAATCATTTCCAGCATGTAGAATCAATCTTCTTAAATGCATTTGACTTTTTTGAATACCTTTGAAATGCACACTCTATAAAATAATTCATGTATTTTATGATATGATATAGAATATGTTACTGAATTATAAGGATATTTATCGGTATGGAAATATACGTTGTATGTATCGATATGAAGAAGCGAGTTTTATCGATGTTGGAAACGATAAGAAAATATTTTAAAGACCCATAAAAATATCTAAAAAAATAGGTATTTATCAAGTATACATTTTTAACTACTTTAAGACCTGGGTTCTTGTACGAAAGCAACTCCATTTGCAAGCGCCTACTGTATTTTCTTAAGAAATGTTGCCTGGCTTACATACACTCACGGTCTTAATAATGAGTACAGTATCTCAGCTTATTTTTCTATTCCAAATTCGATTGGATATAGTTTTGAGAAATCGTTAAATAGCTTAAATTTATTAAAAAAAGAGGAACAAATTTAAAATTAAGATACTAGTATAATATTGTTGGCCGATATTTCATCTCATTTTGATATCATATCAATTTACAGACATGGTCTTTAAGCATTGCTTGATAAATTATAAGAGCCGGTTATGCAAAACTTGGTATGTAGGAGCTCGTATAGCATATACAGATTAAAAGTATATAACTTATTCGAAATGCGCCCTTATTAGCCCTAATGTCTAATTTTTTAAGGCAAAGCCTTGCGCTTTGGTATAGAAACACTTTTGTAAGCCATGTTTGAACCCCGAAAACATCATAAAGTTCGGTCTATAAACAGCAGAGTTAAGCTAGAATGCATTTCGAATGTTATAGGGATAAGTGTAAGAGCACGCACAACTTTCGATAGCAAGAACACGAATTAGATCGTGCGTGATTGGGTCGTGTCAAGCCAAACACGACACGCGGCCAGCGCTAACATTTAGAAAGGTTGAACAACAACAGCAGCAATGAAAGACATTATTGACAGCTGAGAATTGTTGGCTCATTTGAGACACGCTGGACACAGGTACAATTGTTGTTGTTGTTGTTGTTGTTGTTGCCACTGTTGCAGTTGCTTAGCTCTGCTCTGCTTCGAGCTGTCACAGTTGTCTGCTGTCTGCTGTTTCCTGTTGCTGCGGCTGCCACGACAGACAACGTCTGTAGTCTAGACATAAGAGCATGATAAGGGCGGGCAAGGGGTGCATAGCCCGGGCGGTGGCCGTAGAGGGGAAGGCAGGGCTGACAGCTGCTCAAGCTCAGGTGAAACACCGGGCGCGCACATCAACCGTCTGTTTTGTCGTCTGTAAAGTTATGGCCTAAAGAGTTGTCGTTGTTGCCGCCGTTGCCCGCTTTGGCGGTTCGCTGCGCCCCGGCGGTGCGGTGTGGTGCGGTGCGGTGCGGCAGTTGACAGCCTTAGATCAGAAGTGCAGTTGGCAGTTGATTTATGGCGGCGTTGAGTGCCTTTATGCGCACCTCAAATATGACAGAAGGCGTTGCAAGAGCGAGCGCACACAAAAATAAAAAATACGTAAAACCTGCCACAGAGCCTGCCCCTACCGCTGCCGCTGCCCTGGGGCAAACATTGACGGAAGTTGTCGTCCTTTTGCGCCCTTTCCTTTTGCGGCCTGCTGCTGCTGCTGTTGCTGTTGCTGCTGCTGCTTGTTCTGTCCATTCACGCAACGAGCAAATTGTGGCAATTACCTGGTGCCTGCCCCAGCCACTGGCAGTGCCACTTGCCACTTGCCACTTGCCCTGTCCGCGTCTGTGTGTTGCATATTTCCTTGCTCCACATTGCTGTCGTTCTTGTCGCACCATTGCCGCTGTCAAAGTTGCCGGCGTGTTGCATGCTCAGCGATGCGTGTCGACAGCATATCAAACATATCCACATCCATCCGCCTGTCCACTCTCTCTTGCTCTCTGCCTTTCCCCCTCTCTCACTTCCCACTCCCTCTTATGTGTGCGACCAGCCAAGCGCCTAACTGGCCCGCGTCCATTATTGAGCTGTCCCTTCCCTAACTCCAGTTAACGCTTTAAATATAATTGCGTTTGTATTCGAAATGCCAGTTAATTACGTTTAGCGAAAATTTAATACCCTATGACAAATGTTTAATGTATAGAATAATTTTTCTACATATGAATTTGGGATCTGAGTCATAGATGACGTCATCGCTGACATGTCCTCGACTAAGTCTTTCTTAGACATAAGCATTGGCTTGACAGACGTAATCTTACTAGAGACATGCTAAGCGACAGTTCTCTACCACAACATATTAACGCATAAAAAAAAAAATGCAGAGTGTCTTGGCAGACGTCCAGCAAGACAGGTCATCCAGAGTATCATGCAAGACTAAAATGTAAGAGAAAGCCTAAAAAAATCGCCCAAAGACAACGTTACATGTCATGCAGGGTGTCTTTCCTGACATCTAGCTGTACAGGTCATCAGGAATGTCATGAAGACTAAAATAGGTCTAGTGTAAACCCTAACCTCTCGAAGACAACGCTGCTGACATGTCATGCAGGTTGTCTTGCCTGACGTCTAGCTGTACAGGTCATCCAGAGTGTCATGCAAGACTGAAATATGTCTTAAGTTAACCTTAAATGAATTTGCTCGAAGAGAACGCTGCTATGTCAGCAGCATGTCATGTCATGCAGAGTGTCTTGCCTGACGTCTAGCTGGAAAGGTCATCAAGCGTGTCTTGCAAGACTAAAAAATTATGACTCGATTGATTTCTTGCGCTGCCTCTTCGCATTTAAAAAAATGAGTTACATTACATTATTTAGGCCAATATTCATTGGTAAGGCCAGACACGGTAAAATTTTTATGGCACCTGTAATGTACATATATATATATATATAGAAATATATATGCCACATGTTGTGCTACACATATTTTGATACAATCACAACACAAATAAAGCCTTGACTTAAGGCGAGTCGGCGTTTGAGTCCTGCCGTTTAGTGTCCCAATCAATTTGATAGACAGCCTAAAAAATGAAGGCAGAAACCTTTGAGGAGCATTTCAATTTCAAAATAGTTACAAATCAAATGCAATACGCCAGCCCTTTGGGGTAGGGCCGGGAATGTTGAGCGGATGCAACGCTCGGTTTCGCGTCAGGAACATTCGAGGAGCACGAAACCTGAGGAGAAAAAAAAAACGGAAAATCGAGTCAAATGCAAGTGAGAGCGATAAAAACTGCAATCGTAATGCGAAGCAGATGAAACCGAATGATGCGAATGATGCGAATGATGCGAATGACGTGCAACGCTGCCTCGAGCCGAGCCAGCCGAGTGGGGGCTGGAGGAGACCCGACCGACAGACCGACTGACAGACCGACCGACCGACTGACAGACCGACCGACCGACAGACCGACCGACCGGCCGGCGAGGCACAGGCACAGAAATTGCAACCGATAATAATTATTTTTATGGAGTCTAGTCTGTGTCTAGACGATTTTTTTTTTGTTTTTGGTCTTTTTTTTTTTTTGCAGTCACTTCACTTGCCATTTGCCGAGCAGGTCGGATTCAGCCACCACACTTTTGGTGTCTCGAGGGGAGGCTCTGCTGCCGTCGCTGCTGCTTCTGCTGCTGCTGTGTGTGTCATTGTTTTCGCTTTGATTCCGATTTAACTGGTAAACTGGCATTTAACTGTTTCTCTTTGACAAACAAGACAGACGGGCGAGCGGCTGGGCGGCGTGCGGAAAAGCCCCAGACAGACAACTGCACCAAATAGAGCTGGCAGATAACTAGCGAGACGGTCGGACGGTCGGACGAACGGACGGACGGATAGACGGGCAGACAGTCCAAACATGCGGAAAAGTCAAACCTCTCTCTTGTTTTGTGTGCAGCTTCTGCGTTTAGCTTCAGCTAATGCTGCCCCTTTGTTCCAGAAGAATGGCACCTCAAGCCGCAGATACGGCTGGCTATTTGCCATCCGGCGGCAGGTAACCGAAACGCAAGCGAGCCTGCTCGTACAGCATAAAGGTGATAATCGTATTGGGACTGATGCGCATCAGCGCCGGCACAAAACCCTTGTAGAACGCGAATGGACCCTGTTTCGCTGTGGCAATGGCAACCGCTGTCAGGCCACTATATTCGCCGGGTGGGGCGTTCATGTAGGTTGTCTTCATCACATCGATCGGCTGCGTCATGACCGTGCCTATGATGCCGGCTACGGTTGAGGTTACCAAATGCAGCGGCAGTCCCTCCTTCAGCTGAAAGTTTCCCTGCAGCACCTGCTTGACCTGGTCGTAGGCCGCGTTTGTACCAATTGTCAGCAGCACGGCTCGGCTTAAAGCTGGCACCGTGCCACGGAATAGACTGTGAATACCCTCCTCCTTAGAGATGCGATAGAGACCATCGAAAATGTGCTTGTAGCTGGGGTAGGAGCGGGGATTTAGTATACAGTAAAGAGATCAACAAGAGTGTTCCAGTCGGGTGTTTGCGACGCACTGACACCCTTCAGCTAGAGGCAAGCTGCATTTACAAACATTCTAGCTTTCTGTCTACACCAAAGCACAAGGCTTTATCTTTAAAAATGAGGGTTTCTTCAATTATAGGGTTAAAGATGGGAGGTGTCCCAGAAAGGAATTATGTTTAATCTGTGTATGCTATAAGAAACATACACAACAAATTTGGCGTATCTAGCTTTTATAATCCTCGAGTTATGCCGTGTTTCTTCAAAATTCCTTACTCAAACCCTCACTATCTATGGTATTATATAGATGGACAAAGTAGATACTCAGCTGCTCTCAAACTCAAGTCTGATTATATCCTATTTAACTTGGCCACAATGAGTACAGGGTATAACTACTCTGGAGCATAAATAGTCTCCCATGATTGTCCTGGTAATTTCGAGGGACAAACTATAGACAATCTATATACTCTATACAAAATAACCTCAGCTATTGAAGCTGCTCAATCTTAAGTCTGATTATAATCCCCTATCCTATCGACCTCAATGTGTACAGGGTATTACTTGGTTGTCTGCTCACTTGCGTCGCTTTTCTGCCGGCAACTTGCTATCGTTCTGCAATCGCACTGTGACCACATCACCGGGCACACCCACAATGCCACCAAAGAGGCCCGCAAATGTGGCCAGCTGGACCTTGGCGCTCATATTGTTAGCATCCACGAATTGCTTGCCATATTCGTAGAGAGCAAAGCGTGCTGTTGTGTAGGTGAGCTGCCGAAACCAGGCGGCCGAGATGCCACTGTAAAATCCCACAATACCTAAATCAGGCGTTACTTGGCATTATCTTTAACACTCCACATGATGTTGCTACCTTTGCCACTCACCTGAATTTTTGTATATATTGCCAATCAGCTGTGAGACAGGCACCTTTGTTGTCTGCGTTTGCAGTTGGACTTTCACTAAATCGAGTGGATGCGTTGTTGTCACCGCAATCGCGGAGCAAACACCGCCCGACCACCAACGCGGCTGACGCTTCGAGTTCTTATCAGCCATTATTATATATATATATATATATAATAATATAATAATATATATATATATATATTGAAATTATTTGGGCAGCAACAACAAACCGTCGAGCCCAAGCGCAAAAATCATTTCTAAACTAAATTTTGATTTAAAAAAATATCTAAAATTGAAAATACATCGCTTCACAAATATTTGTGCTACTAGATACAACTACTTGACAAGCAACTTAAGACAAATGTTTAAATATCAAAAATGTATATTTCCACCCTTTTCCGCGTGTAAGGGTGGATCTGACAATATCGCTGAAACCCTTACTACCCATTTTTCACTCAATGGCTTGGACATTTCTCAAATCGCCAAAATTGATTTTCATCCAGTTTCGTGAAAACTTTCCATCCATTTTTGACATTTGTGGAAACTTCTTTCCGAAGTGGGTTTAGGTAAGTCCCTGAAACGCGTCTCAAACAATTTCACTTATGAGTTTTTCATTCATTTTCAACACTTGTGGTTGAAAATTTTCTTACAAACAAACTTGTATGCCCTTCAAACTAACTTTTATACCCATATTGATAATAGCGTGGATTTAACAAAATCGGTTTAAATTTTTTTTTCATATTTCATAAAAAAGCTTTTCAACTATTTTCTATGCTTTTGTTAATTTAAATGTTTACTATTCTCCCTCATACAAACTTCATTAACTATTTAACCTAGTTTCATTTAAGATTTTTTCACGCATTTTCCACACTAGTAGGTGGAATTTATTTAAATACCTCCAATTGCTCAACAACTTAATATCAAAACTCTCGCGTATATTAAATGAAATAAGATAGTCTTAGACAACTTTTGACTATAATTGAAATTGAATCAATTGCCCTGCATTTTCGCTGAGTGTACTGCGACTTGCCGCAGTTGCCAGTTGAGTTGTTGGCGGCATTTGCCGTGACAATAAACGACACCTTTTGCACTCTGGTCTCTGGTATTTCGCATCGCTGCTCAGCTGGCTTGGCGGCAACAACTGCTCCGATATTATGTTATTATGGCAATTATAGTTACGACACGATTCGCTGTCTCGTCATGAGAGAGACGGCATCTATGGTATTTTTTGAATGTGCACAGATTTGCACGCTGCGATAACTATGGAGGCGAAGTGATGCCGCGCAGTCGCAGTTGCAATTACAAACATTTTAATGCAATTAACACACACACACACACCTGTGCGAGGCAAGGGAAACGGTTCGCTGCTCATTTGCCTGGCCGATTGCAATTCGAAACGCGGCGGCATCGCCAAAAGCCAAGCTCAAGCTACACAAAAAGTGAAGAAGAAAAAAAATCATCAAAGCGTTTGCGACATCTGTGCGTGTGTCAGTGTCGATTTCAACCCACAATGCACCACCAACAGCACCAGCACCAGCACCACAATCGGCACCACCAGCCAAGAGACTAAGGCAATGAGGTATACCTCTGTGAGGTTTGCCGCCCCGGACTGCTATCAGTGTACCAGATACGTCCTCCTCGATGTCGTCGTCTGCGTTCTTGTCTTCTTTGTAGTTGCCGCCATGCACTTCTTGCCAGCGCGTGTGTACGTATGTGTGTGTGTTGGTGTGTGTGTGTCGGCCAAGTCTAACGAGCCAGTTGGCCAGTTGATAATAAGGGCCAGTTGAACATGCCACCGGCCGCAATATGGTTACAACATGTCATCCACGTCCTTTTAGCCAATGGCCGGCGAATGCAATCAGTTTGCGCTTCATTTCACCCAAAGGGCTCTTCACTTCACGTATTGTCTTAATTATTGCAAGCGTTTGTGCACAGGGGGTCAATGGGTTAAAGGGCGTAGCAGAAGCGAACAAGAGAATTGACTCAATTGATACGTTAGCGAATTTATTAGCTAAGCGCTTTTTAAGTTTAGGAAAACGAGAAGGACATTTCTGAGACTGAGCACAAATTATTATTATTTCAAGAGCGTTATTTTTCATAAAACCAAAACTTAATTCAAGGTTTCTATAATATATTTAAGGCTTATACACCTGTTTTCAGCCATAGAAGTGACACCTGGCCGAACGGCGTAACTCAATTAATGAAAAGTATAGGTCGGCAGAAGCTTAAATGAAATTATACGCTTTTTGGCTCTGTGCACTCAAAGCAAGATTAAGGAGCAGAACTTAAGGTAAACATAAATAGCTGCTCCATGGAGAAGTGGCTAACTAACTGACGCTCTGATTGCCGCAGCTGGCCATATCCATTATAATCCGACAGGCTAAACAGAAAAAGCCACAAAGCTCGCTTGCTGCTGCTTACGCAATACACGTGCCATGATAGCAAGAGAGAGCTAGAGAGCGAGAGATAGTGGGTGAGAGGGAGAGAGGGCGAGAGGAAGCGTGGGCAGATGGCAGCCAGGTAGCTATGTTCATCAGCTGGCGTCCAGGGTAAACTATTTACCCAAGCGATTAGCTGCCGTTTCACTTGGCAGACGACTAAATGACTCGACAACCTTGGCAGCATGCTCCAGGGAAATGCCAAAGTAGAGAGTGAGAGAGAGAGAGAGAGAGGGGAAGGGCGCGGCAGTGGGCTTTGGGGACACAACCAATTTTCATATTCTAGGTCATTAGAGAAAAACAAAATAGACGACAAACAAAATGTGCTTTAATTATTAATAATGTGCTAAACAAACACAGGCGGCGCTTGTCCTTAAGCATCTTGCTCTCGGCTTTTCATTACATTTTCAAATCAGTTTTCCTTACATTTTCCGATTTGGCTTATCAGAAATCGCTAAAAGAAGTATTCATTATTTTTGTATGCTTAGCTTTTGAAAATGAGTTCACAGTCAATTGGAATAAATTAATTTCACTTTCACCCAGTGGGGCGGATTTTACGAAAGGTGTGAATTACGTATTTTATTCATTTTTAAGCCTAGGCTTTGGTTTATCGAAAATCGGTAAAAAGACGTATCCACTAATTTTTCAAGCTCAGCTTTGCGAAGGAGTTTTAAGTCAATCAAAAGAAATAAATGCCATTTCCACAGAGTGGGGTGAATTTTGCGAAAGATGTGAATTATGGCATTCACGCATTTACTTTGATACAAGAGTTTTTCCACCAATTTTCCACCGTTTCTAGTGGAATATTTTACAATGAATGAATAGTCAGTCAGCCAGAACGTATTAAAACCAGTAACTGCACCTGGAATTTGATTTTATTTAATTGGTTATTCTTAGGTAAAGATTAACGGTGCACGCCTTCACTTTGTAGACATAGAAGATGACATAGATGGCATAATCTCCCATGGGGACGGGCAAATATCGTGCAAATTCCAACTCATGATCGCCAGTATATAGCTTGTCAACTATAATGTCATGCTAATCGAGAAGGATCAATGAATAAGACGTCTGTATACAGGTAGCTACTCACATTGTATGGACACGTGTGATTCATGTTGGACCGATTTTTCAAGGTGTTATAAAATAATATTAAAATGGGATGCCTCGGCTGTTTTAGAAACTTGCAGGCATCAAAGGTGACATCAAAGAAAAAGGGCTTATAGCCAGAGTTATAGCGCATGCACCTAATGTTGATCTAATCGGATGTTTAGCAGACAAGTACTTATGCTTGTAACTGGGCGTGGCACTCACCGATACATTATTTAGGGGCTTGGTATAAATGTTCGCATGTACGCTAACATACTTGTGGGTACGATTCACAGCCTTGATGTGACAATGCTGGAAATTGCCAATTTGTCTGTCCGTAAAGTTGCACTTCAGATTCGTGAATGTCACATGTGCCACGATACACTGCAAACGATAGAATGCTGAGCCAAAAAGCAGGGAAATATAGATTTTCCTTTGCTTACCGTTAGAAAAGCCATGCAACAGCACACAAATAACTTTCTCAGCATGTTGATGAAACACATATGAAACAAAAAGCATTCAACATTGCTTTTCGAAAAGCTTTTTTCGATAACATTTACGGGCGCAATTAATACAACTTTCGAAGAACTAATCGCAATTACACGGTATTTAAACGCAATAATATTATCATTATCACAAATAATATTATAATTATCAAAATGGATGAACACTTTTGGGGCTTTTAGTCAATTTGCTTTTTAACATTTCATTAAATATTTACTTAGCATTCAAAACTGACAATTCTGTTTCGCAAACGATTTGCAGGGACAGAAATAAAGTGAGAGACCGAGAGAGAGAGAGAGAGAGAGAGAGAGAGAGAAAGAAAAGGAGAGCGCGGTACATTTGCAAATTGTTTTGTTGTTACATTCGTAAACATTTTTTTTGTTTTCGCCTTCTCTTTTATTTTCAAATTCTTAAACGTTTTGCTGGCAACATTAACTAAAGCGCATTTGCTTTCTACTTTCCTTTCTGTCTGAAATTCGTAAGCGTTTTGCTGGCGCTCTTAACCTAAAAAGAAGCCACTTGCTTTTTCCAGATCCTGTTTTTATCATATTATTGAACGTTCGACTCCAAAGTTTACTTGAGATATATATTACGAAAGAGAGAGAAAGTGAGATTTCATCTTATATTTAGAAAACCTTTGCATAATATATTCCCAAATGTATCTCCGAAAAGAAAACGAATCCTTCAAGTTTTGACTGGTTCTCAACTCAAGCGTATGCAATGCATATACAGAAAGTTTTTAATATTAAGAAGAGGACGTTGGGGACGTTGGGTACAAAGGTAAAGCTGACCAGGCATAGGGGGAACGCGAAACGAGTCCAGACAAAAAGAATTTTATTGGCCTTCACTTAACGCTCATAAATTTGTCTGCCGCAAAAGCTGGAACAACAAGAAGAACAAGGGGAAGCAAAGGCAAGATGAAGACAAAATAAGGTTGATATGCGAGGCTTCCGCTGCCGCGAACTGGTTCCAATATGGACTCCGGAGACAACTTGTGTGTGCGTGTGGGTGTGCGTTAAAAAAGTGCTATTAAATTGGCATGTTACACGGGTTAGCGAGCCACCTGCACCACACCCAGGTGCAGTCCACCCTTTTCTTGTTTTGGCCACAATTCACAGTCAGCGCTGACCTCGGGTTAAACTTGGCTGCAAAGTCGCGCGCGGCTGCCACTTTACGTGGCATAAATCTGATCGAAAAGTCGTCGCTGCAGCATTTTCTGGCCAAGCTGGCAACTTTGTCTGGGCCAAATTCAGCTTTAGAGCTGCAGCAGCTGGTCTAAAAATAGCCATGGCCTCATGTTGGTCAAGTTTGCTGCCCCGAATGCCTGCCAGCCTGCCAGCCCGCCTGCCCCCCTCCTGCCTTTGAAACGTTAGTCTGGCTTTCAGCTCTGATCGCGTTTCGTGCGTCATTGCATGCACACACACACACACACACACACACGGAGACACACTCGATTCGTCGCGACTCGCGTCTCACAAGGCGTTGCACCTTTGGGCGAAGGTGCATTGATCGCTGCGTCTGCTGCAGCGCCAGATCCGAGACCGCAGCTCGGTCATTGCCTCAGCGCAAACTCAAAATTATTGTTGTATTTAAGGTATTTATGTGCATATCTCTGAGCCAGTTACAAAAGAAATACCGAAAAACCAACCGCCGAGAAAAGAGGCAAGAAATATCTCTGGATTGCCGAAAAAATATACACTTATAGATATATCTATGTATCTACCTCTATATCTATATCTATATCTATATCTATATCTATATCTATATCTATATCTATATCTATATCTATATCTATATCTATATCTATATCTATATCTATATCTATATCTATATCTATATCTATATCTATATCTATATCTATATCTATATCTATATCTATATCTATATCTATATCTATATCTATATCTATATCTATATCTATATCTATATCTATATCTATATCTATATCTATATCTATATCTATATCTATATCTATATCTATATCTATATCTATATCTATATCTATATCTATATCTATATCTATATCTATATCTATATCTATATCTATATCTATATCTATATCTATATCTATATCTATATCTATATCTATATCTATATCTATATCTATATCTATATATATATATCTATATCTATATCTATATCTATATCTATATCTATATCTATATCTATATCTATATCTATATCTATATCTATATCTATATCTATATCTATATCTATATCTATATCTATATCTATATCTATCTATATCTATATCTATATCTATATCTATATCTATATCTATATCTATATCTATATCTATATCTATATCTATATCTATATCTATATCTATATCTATATCTATATCTATATCTATATCTATATCTATATCTATATCTATATCTATATCTATATCTATATCTGCTTCAATGCGTTACATATTTCATTACAAAATGTAAGCACCCTACTAAGCAAAGGGTACAACAACAGTCAACAAATTGAAACTGAAAAATGCGTTCAATGAACGCGCATCGAAAACGAAGCGCGCGTGCGTTTTGGGGCAACGATCGATGATCGATAAGAGGAGGCGACGCGCCACATGAACAGACGACGCCATTTGGTTTTGACGACTGAACAAATTATGTGCCAAGTGCAGTTTGCAGTTGACTTTCGACTGAGCGCCGAGCCAAGCCACGCGTCACAGCCAGTGTTGACAAATGTTGCTCTAAAAATGTTGCTAAATTGAACAAAATTACATTAAAATAGCTGAATGCAGGTGTTAGCAGGTTAATTCGTAGAATTAAGTAGACATAAAGGCAAAGGATCAAAGGACCAAAGGACCTTATTTTGACTTGAAATTCGAATAAAAAATGTGTGGTCAGATTAAAATGCCAAATTATTTTAGAGGGAAAACCACGAAGAAAAAGCCAAGCCTCATGAAAATCGGTTGAGTTTTGACCGAGTTATGTGAATGGGAAATTTCGATCCATGTCTATATACGAATCCTAGGGGCACGATTTTAACATTAATTTCGACTAAAAAATGTGTGGTCAGATTTAAATGCCAAATTATTTTAGAGGGAAAACCACGAAGAAAAAGCCAAGCCTCGTGAAAATCGGTTAAGATTTGACCGAGTTATGGGGTTGGGAAAATTTGACCCATGTCTATATACGAATCTACAGGGTAAGATTTTGACATGAATTTCGACCAAAAAATATGTGGTCAGATTTAAATGTCAGATTATTTTAGAGGGAAAACCATGAAGAAAAAGCCAAGCCTCATGAAAATCGGTTGAGTTTTGACCGAGTTATGGGGTTGGGAAAATTTGACCCATGTCTATATAGGAATCTACAGGGTAAGATTTTGACATGAATTTCGACTAAAAAATGTGTGTTCAGATTTAAATGCCAGATTATTTAAGAGGGAAAACCATGAAGAAAAAGCCAAGCCTCATGAAAATCGGTTGAGTTTTGACCGAGTTATGGGGTTGGGAAAATTTGAACCATGTCTATATACGAATCTTCAGGGTAAGATTTTGACACGAATTTCGACTAAAAAATGTGTGGTCAGATTTAAATGACAGATTATTTTAGAGGGAAAACCATGAAGAAAAAGCCAAGCCTCATGAAAATCGGTTGAGTTTTGACCGAGTTATGGGGTTGGGAAAATTTGACCCATGTCTATATAGGAATCTACAGGGTAAGATTTTGACATGAATTTCGACTAAAAAAGGTGTGTGTCAGATTTAAATGCCAGATTATTTTAGAGGGAAAACCATGAAGAAAAAGCCAAGCCTCGTGAAAATCGGTTGAGTTTTGACCGAGTTATGGGGTTGGGAAAATTTGACCCATGTCTATATACGAATGTACAGGGTAAGATTTTGACATGAATTTCGACTAAAAAATGCTTGGTCAGATTTAAATGCCAGATTATTTTAGAGGGAAAACCATGAAGAAAAAGCCAAGCCTCGTGAAAATCGGTTGAATTTTGACCGAGTTATGGGGTTGGGAAATTTCGATCCATGTCTATATACGAATCCTAGGGGATTTTGACATTAATTTCGACTAAAAAATGTGTGGTCAGATTTAAATGCCAAATTATTTTAGAGGGAAAACCACGAAGAAAAAGCCAAGCCTCGTGAAAATCGGTTAAGATTTGACCGAGTTATGGGGTTGAGAAAATTTGACCCATGTCTATATACGAATCTACAGGGTAAGATTTTGACATGAATTTCGACCAAAAAATGTGTGGTCAGATTTAAATGCCAGATTATTTTAGAGGGAAAACCATGAAGAAAAAGCCAAGCCTCATGAAAATCGGTTGAGTTTTGACCGAGTTATGGGGTTGGGAAAATTTGGCCCATGTCTATATACGAATCTACAGGGTAAGATTTTGACATGAATTTCGACCAAAAAATGTGTGGTCAGATTTAAATGCCAGATTATTTTAGAGGGAAAACCATGAAGAAAAAGCCAAGCCTCATGAAAATCGGTTGAGTTTTGACCGAGTTATGGGGTTGGGAAAATTTGACCCATGTCTATATAGGAATCTACAGGGTAAGATTTTGACATGAATTTCGACTAAAAAAGGTGTGTGTCAGATTTAAATGCCAGATTATTTTAGAGGGAAAACCATGAAGAAAAAGCCAAGCCTCATGAAAATCGGTTGAGTTTTGACCGAGTTATGGGGTTGGCAAAATTTGACCCATGTCTATATAGGAATCTACAGGGTAAGATTTTGACATGAATTTCGACTAAAAAATGTGTGTTCAGATTTAAATGCCAGATTATTTTAGAGGGAAAACCATGAAGAAAAAGCCAAGCCTTATGAAAATCGGTTGAGTTTTGACCGAGTTATGGGTTTGGGAAATTTCGATCCATGTCTATATAGGAATCTACAGGGTAAGATTTTGACATGAATT